CTATCACAAGAACAGAAAACCAAACACCGCATGTTCTCACTCATAGGTGGGAATTGAACAATGAGATCACTTGGACACAGGAAGGGGAACATCACACACCGGGACCTGTTGTGGAGTGAGAGGACAGGGGAAGTATAGCATTAGGGGATATACCTAATGTAAATGACGAGTTAATGGGTGCAGCACACCAACATGGCACATGTAGACATATGTGACAAACCTGCACATTGTGCACATGTACCCTAGAACTTAAAGTATAATTAAAAAAAAAAAAAGAAAGTTTACAAATTTGTTTTGGGCCTTCCTAGTTGGCTTGGGACCTGTGGGGAAGCTTGCTCTAAGGCATTATATGAACATTACTCATTGTTTTATGCATGCCATATAAAATAGAAAGAAAAAGTGCATCTTTTTCAAATTGTGAAAAAATAAAAGTTGTAGGAATTAAACAATTTAAAAGAAGAGTTCTCAAAACTCAGTGTTAAAATAATAGCAAATTTCAGTTCAAAGATGGGAAAAAGACAAGAGTAAGGATATAAGACAGCAAATGAGCACATGAAATCTGTTAAACAGCATCAATAGAGAAATGCAAATTAAATCAAAATAAGCTATTACCATAGACTTATCGGAATGGCTAAAATTAAAAATAGTGATAACCCTAAATGTTGATGAGGATGTGGAAGAACTGGATCACTCATACAATCACTCATGCCATTCAAACCATGTCATAGCTATCCTGGAAAACAGTTTGGTAATTAAAAAAAAATCTAAACACTCAACTACCATATGACCCAGCATTTCTACTCTTGGGGATTTATTCCAGAGAAATGAAAACTTATGCTCACATAAAAACCTATACATAAATGTTTATAGCTGCTTAATTTCTAATAGATAAAAATTGGAAACAGCCCAGATATCCTCCAAAGGATGAGTGGTTAAACAAACTGTGAGACATCTATATTATATGGAATCCTCCTTAATAAATGGGAATGAACTGTTAATGATGAAACTTGAAAGAATTATGCTGAGTGGAAAAAAGCCAACCCCAAAAGGTTCTACACTGTATGATTCCATTTATATAACATTCTTGAAATGACAAAATTACAGCAAAGGAGAACAGATTGGTTGTAGCTGGGGCTAAGGAGGATGTGGGGATTGGAGAGAAGCATGTGGAGGTATAAAAGGACGATATGAGGGAGCCTTGAGATGATGAGAATGTTCTGATCTTGATTGTATCAGTGTCAATATCTTGGGTGTGATATTGTCCTACAGTTTTACAAGATATTTGCAAGATACGGCTTTAGTTAATCTGTAAGCTTGATGTGTAAATTGAATGACAAAACAAGGTAAAACAAAAGAAAAGATAAAAAGTTTCCAAAACAAGGTAAAAAGAAAAAAAAAGCAAAATAAGTCCTCATATCATAATAATTTGTAAAACATCTCTTATCTTTTCCTCTAATTGTCATCTCTCTCCCTTCTTTGCTATTCAACAAATGAGTCTTTGTTATTCAACAAATGGGGAATCTTAATTCGTTCAAGTAGATTCATGTCAGTTTTTGCTGTTAAAGAAAATGCCATTCTGTGGTCCAAATCACCTGCATACTTTATAGAATCCTTCCTGGGGTTTTATGATGACAAGTGTTCCCACCATTCAGACAATAAAGACCTTGGTGTGTAGTCAAGGGAGCAAAGCCAGGCCTGCTCTTTTCCTTCCTGTCAGTTTTTCCGATAGGTTTGTTCTGTTGTTCCAGAAATATTATCAAGTTCTCTAATGCCTTAATCACTTTTTCTTCCCGGAATAAAATAAAAATGAGTTAACCACTCATTTCAGTGACAGGGCTGAAAAGCGTGATAAACTGCAATATCTTTATCTGCACCATCCAGCAGTGATAGAATTCTGCTGAATTTTGTACCAGAAAATCCCAGAGCTGGGCCAGTGCCCAACACCCTTAATCCACATATGTTTGTAAACTGGCATTTTTAATGACAGTCACTTCATCACTTCTGCTTAAAGTGCTTATAGAATAAAGACACCACAGGAAATTTAAGTAAAGTTATTTATTATTTATAATTTTAATTGCCACACAACTATACATATTTATGGGATACAGTGTGATGTTTTGATG